GATGATGGAGGTTGCAGGGGTTGTGCCTGTTGTTGTGTCAGGTTCGGCTGTGGTGAAGTCGTGGGCGACAGACGCCGAAGCGGCCGTCGTTGTGGCAGTGAAGGAGGAAGAGGAGGAGGAAGGGGAGGAGTGAGGGGTGGTAAGGTCGGTGGCGTCGATATCGGCTGGGGAGTGGTTAGTGGGTGCACAAGGTGGTGGATTGGGAGTGGGGCTCGGCGGGGTGGATGTGTCAAGGCTGCGGTCAATTCCGCTCTCGTGGATGCGCATGTGGCCGAATAGACCCATGCGATGCGTGAAGGTGCGAGGGCATTGTGGGCAGTGGAGGCGAGTGCGGTGGGTGTAGGTTGGTGCTCCAGGCACTGGTTCGCCAGTCTCTGTGCGATGGATTCGCAAGTGACCGACCAGGCCGATGCGGGAAGTGAAGGTGCGGTCGCAGTGAGGGCAGGTGTAGTCCTGATCCTCATCACTGGAATCGGGAGAGGTGGGGGTGGTGGCGGTTATTGTGTCGGGGTTAGTGATGTGTGAGACGGCAGTCTGAACGGCCGCCGCTGGGGCAGTAGAGGAGAAGGAGGAGGATGGAAGTGGCGGTGCAGAAGGAGTGTCAGAGTTAGTTGGCGGAAGAGAGCACGAGGAAGAGGCGGGCGGGGGGACGATGGCTGGAGCAGTTCGAGAGGTGAAGTTGATCCGAAGATTTCCAACAAGTCCGATTCGTGCCCGGAATGTCCGTTGACATCGAGGACACGTAGGGGGAGGTTGTGCGGCGGCGTTGCGGACTGGGCGAAGTTGTGATTTGCGGGCTTCGCGTTTCGCTTTGGCGGCGGCGATTCGGTTGGCTTCACAGATAGCAGCGCCCGTCTTCACTGTTCTCCTCCATGTCGGACGATCGCGAGCGAGCTCTTCCCAGTTGGTCGAATTGATTTGCAGACGCTTCAGGGAGGACTTCAGAGTATCCTTGTAACGGCAAATTTGGCCGCCTTGACGACGAGAACCCGTCGCGACGTCTCCGTAGAAGAGTCGTTTGGGTAGTCGCTCGTCGTCCATGCGCACCAGGTGGCCGCTCCAGCGCATCTGCATTTGTTTCAGTATGGCGTAGATGCTGAGGATTCCCGTTCGTTCCAGTACTTCCGTGTCGGGGATTCGATCCTGGCAGTTCAGCCTCAGGATGCGACGGAGACAACTGAGGTGGAAGTGGTTCAGTCGGCGTGCCTAACTCATGTACACCAACCATGACTCTGCTCCGTACAGTAACGTCGACAGGATGACGGCCTTGTACATCTTCAGCTTCGTGCTCAGTTGGAGACCGTGGCGATTCCAAACTGTGTTTCGGAGACGACCGAAGGCTTGACTGGCTTTCGAGATCCTGCTGGCGACTTCGTCATCAATCTTGGTGTTGTGGGAGAGGGTACTGCCCAGATACGGGAAGTTCTCTACCACTTGCAGTTGATTTCCGTTCACGCTGATTTGCGGCGGCGCGTTGGGGGCTGTGGCTGAGTTGGGAGGCGGCGGTTGGTGCATCACCACCGTCTTCTGCGTGTTAATGACCAACCCAAAGTTCTCGCAGACGGCGGAGAATAGGTCCATGCTCCGTTGCATCTCCTCTTCCGAGGTGGTGATCAGGGCGCAGTCGTCGGCGAAGAGGAGTTCGTGCACGGTGGCTGTGGATACGCGCGATTGGAAGTTCATGCGCCGTTGATTCAGGAGATGACCGTCCGTTCTCTAGGCGATGCGGATTCCAGGGCGTTCGTCGCGGTAGGCGTCCATCAGCATGGCAGAGAACATAAGACTGAAGAGGGTTGGTGCCAGCACGCATCCCTGCTTCACTCCGTTGGTCACTGCGAATGCCTCTGAGACAGCACCGCTGTCCGTGACTCGCGCCATCATACCGTCGTGCAGCTGACGCACCATCTGAGTGAATCGCTCCGGACAGCCGAATTTCTGCATGATCTTCCAAAGTCCTTCACGATTCACCGTGTCGAAGGCTTTCGTCAGGTCCACGAAGGTAGAGTACAGGTGGGTTCGCATCTCCCGGCACTTCTCCTGGAGTTGGCGGGCTGCGAAGATCATATCCGTGGTCCCGCGATGACGACGGAAGCCGCATTGGCTCTCCGGCAGAAGGCCCTGTTCCAGATGGATGTTGAGGCGGATGAGCAGGATGCGAGCGAAGATCTTCCCGGCGATGTTCAGTAGGGAGATGCCGCGGTGATTGTCGCAGACTTGGCGATTCCCTTTGCGCTTGTATAGGTGCACGATAGTTGCGTCCTTGAAATCTTGCGGGACTTCACCTTGACGCCACATCTCATGGAAGAGCGCAGTCAGGTGATCCATCAGTTGGGGACTTCCGTGCTTGTAGACCTCGGCAGGGATTGCGTCCGATCCGGGTGCTTTCCCGCTGGAGAGTTGCTGCACGGCCCTGATGGTCTCCTGGAGAGATGGCGGGAGGTCGAGGTCCACGTTGGTCTCCACTTGCGGCAAGCGGGCGATGGCGGCGTCGGAGATGACGGAAGGGCGGTTGAGGACGCCTCGGAAGTGCTCGGCCCATCGCTGCAGTATTTGCGACTTCTCAGTCAGGAGAGTGCTGCCGTCGGCGCTGAGGAGAGGAGCAGTGCCCTTCTTCGGCGGACCGTAGACAGCTTTGATCGCGGAGAGGAAGTTCTTCCATTCGTTGCGGTCGGCGTAGCCTTGGATCTCCTCAGCTTTGCGAGCAGTCCAGGCGTCCTGCATCTCGCGCAGTCGTTGCTGAAGTTGGCGGCGACTGCGGTAGAAGGCAGCTTTGTTGTCCTCAGTGGGATGATCTACGTAGGCTTTGTGGAGGCGGTTCTTCTCAGCAAGCAGATTTCTGATGGCGGCGTCGTTGTCGTCGAACCAGTCCGGGTGTTGGCGGGGAGCGCGACCGAGGACGGCGAGCGCCTTCGACTGGACGGTGTCTCGCAGTTGACACCAGCGGTTCTCCACGGAGGCGTTCTCGGCAGCGGCGGCGGCGGCGTCGTCGGTGGCGGCAGCGATAGGAAGATTGTCTAGCCGTTGAGCTATCTCATTCCAGAAATGGAGACGGTGAGCAGGCAAAGACAACAAAGCAACATTCAGCTTACCTGGGGGTCGCTTACCTTGTGGTCTCCTGCGAGGCTGGAGGCGAATACGCATCTTCGAGATGACGAGGCGATGGTCGGTCCACCCGTCAGCACCCGCGATCGCCTTCGTCACCAGCACGTCCCGCTGATCTCGCCTCCGAACGAGGACGTAGTCCAGCAGGTGCCACTGGCGCGATCGAGGATGCCTCCAGGTGGCCTTCTCTCGCTCCGGCAGACAGAAGAACGTGTTCGTCAGGATGAGGCGGTGTTCTGCGCAGGCGCGAACCAGTAGCAGACCACTGTCGTTGGAGCCGCGGAGACCGTGGGGACCCAGCACTCCCCTCCAGGCAGCATGGTCTGTGCCGACGCGGGCGTTGAATTCGCCAAGGACAATCAACTTGTCCGCCTTCGACACAGTCGCCAAGAGGGCGTGCAGGTCCTCGTAGAATTTGTCTCTGACGGCGTCGGGGCTGCTCATCGGCGGAGCGTAGGCGCTGATGATGGTGGCAAACTTGCCTCCTCGCCGGAGGGGCAGACGGAGGCTCATGAGGCGGTCGTTGATTCCCTGCGGCAAACAGGGCAGTCTTCCCACGATGTCGGTCCGGACGGCGAAGGCGACGCCCGCGTCTCGTCGCTCTGCCTTGGGTCGACCACTCCAGAAGAAGGTGTAACCGGCACCCACCTCCTCCAGTTGGCCTTGTTCAGAGAATAGGGTCTCGCTGAGTGCGGCGATGTCTACCTTGTAACGCGCCAGTTCTCGTGCCACTAGCGCCGTCCTCCGTTCCGGTCGGTTGCTCCTCGGATTGTCTAAAAGGGAACGAACATTCCAGGCTGCCAGAGTGAGCGGGCTCACCCTGCCAGTCTGGCGACTGCGGCGGCGAAAAGTAGGAGAAGGAGAAGAAGAAGAATAGGCTGGAAGAGGAAGAGAGTGATTGTTGTTGTTGTTGTTTCGGTTTTGGCTTTTTCGACCGTGTGTTTTTTGTCTGCGGCCACGGCCAGCCTACAGACAGCGTGGTTCCCAGCGATCTTTAGGGCACCTTTTCTAGCCCCCTCCCCCTCGCGGGGGCAGGCAACGCATCCCTGAACAGTGCTGCATGGTTATCCCAGACGGCTGCCGGACTCCACTATGGGCCACGAATTTTTGTTAGTGAGAGAACGACCCGAATTAGCCTGGGATCTTGGTGGTGAGGTGATGATGTGAGGGAGTGAAGTAGGAGAGAGCATACACACTACCTAACGCTATGGGACTTAGAACTAGAGTGGACAAGCGGACACAGTCACCAGTCAGAGACAAAGTGAGGGCACCACACAAGGTCAGGCACCGTAACACCTAGCTATTAGTAGAGAGTGGCATAGACTGACGGACAGACAATCGCAGCAGGCATCGAGGGTGTCGTTTAGCTATTAACAGACAGACTAGCATATAAAGGACAGGCAGCAAGCGCAGCGTACGACGCGGAACTTCAGCAGACAAAAGGAAGAAACAGAGCAAATGCACTTACCTGAGGAAGAACTTACCTGGTGACCTCCTGCGATGGTCCAGGCAGAGCCTCGTCTCGACGATGTCGACGCGAAGATCCATCCGGCCAGCGAAGACCACAGTACCGCGTGTTCAGGTGCACGCACGGATACCCTCACTTGGTTTAGCCCGCCGGTCGAGACGGTTGCCCGGTGTGTGGCAGCTGAGCAGAGCCCAGCTACGTGGAGCCACAGGTGAGAGTTAGGTGCCAGCAAATGGACGCTAGGTGTAGTCTCACCTGCAAGCAAGTGAGCGACCACTACGACCATCACGTGGACCCCCCGCTGACACCCCTACACCCCCCCCACACACACACACACACGCACACACACACGACCAGCCAAAGGTGCCTGCCTTACGGGGAAGAGGGTAATAGGGGTTTTACTGGCGAGGCCTATGTATGCATAGAGGAATGGTAAAATAAGTATAGATAATTGGTAAACTCGTTTTTCGGGTGGAAAAGTTTTCACGCATTGACATATACCAACTGAAATTAAGCAGGACAATTTAAAAAAAATAAACACTAAGGTTGGGTCGTCCGTTGTAGACGGTTTGGCGCATTATCTACAATGACCTCAGCTCAGAGAGTTGAGAAACTTTCGGTGTGGACTGACTGGCGCCCCGCCCGTAAACTCCCTATTACCACCTATCCCGTAAGACGGGCACCTTTGGCTGGTCGTGTGCGTTTGGGGTCCTTCACCCGATCGTCGCCCAAAAGTAATGCTGACACACCAGGACATAGGGCTGCAAGCTGATTGCACAGTCTACGATCTGTTCAAACTGGCTTGCCTTAAGTTGTCACTTTGTCATCCTCGCTCGTCAGCAAGTGTGTGCGAATCTGTCTTTCTGCAGCAGTACTATCTGCAATGCACTCCACAAGCGGCTACGTGGGAGGTGATTGACAGACTGACTGCACGCTCCAAGGCCAGTTAGACGGATAGGAATGATGCGCATTTGCCGCAGAGCACAGAACAGACCGGACAGCGGGGGTTAGGTTATGCCTCCTGTTAGTGGACGTGTCTGTGCGTGCATTGCCAGGTGCTAAGCTGATTGGTTTATTTGCTTTAGACCAATCCGCTAGTATAACTAGGAGCAAGCAAGCCAGTGAGAATAAAGTAGTCCACTGTCTGGGTTTATAACACTATGCATTATTTTATCTCGTGGCGGTTGGGGACGTCAAGGATAGCGCAGACCGAGGTAACGCAGCACTGTGAAGGGATCCTGGCTAAGACTGATTTGAATAGGGCCGTTGACATGTTTCAATACTCATCCACACGAAAGGGAACGTTAGGCAAGCAATAAGGTATGCTGAGGAGGGATGGAAACTGGGAATACATATAATAGTAGTTAATTGTACAAATGGGATGAGTTACAACAAGGGAGTAACCTGTTTGGTTGGTAAGACGACACTGACGTGCCAGCTAAACCGGCGGCGAACGTGTGCCGAGGCGCCAGACTATCTTGCCTTTCCCTACCTGTTCCTCATTCTTGAACTTACTGGTTGTTTAACTGAATGGAATGAACACAACTCGACGCGACGCGCTTGGCATGAGTGGGATTGTCAGGTCGTTTGACTTTTGATTATTAATTCTTCCATAACTCTGGTCTTATCCTGATTTTTATAGTCTGGGATAGACGGTTCTGTCTTTAACGCTCGCTACAGTGGTGACCCCGACGTGATCGCTTATACCTTTAATTAGTCAACTTCCAATTTGCATACCGCCCGTTTGCCTTCTTTCTTTCTACAATCATGTCCTCTACGAATTCCAATGATCCCACTTCTTCTCTCAGTGGACTTGTTTCTTCCCTCCCAGACTTTTGGCAACATGCGCCAGAGCTTTATTTTTTCCGTATTGAGGCGACTTTTCACTCCGCCAAGATAACACGTGAAACCGACAAGTTTTATAAGCTGGTCGAGGCCCTCCCTCCCACCATTCTTTCTCAAGTGCAGACGCTTCTGAGAGATCCCCCGACTGATGCTCCTTACACTAAGTTAAAGGCTGAGCTTCTTCGCCTGACATCAGTCTCCGATCGGCAGCGTTATCACGCACTAGTAAAAGAGGAGGCCTTAGGTGATCGCAAGCCGTCGGAACTCTTGCGTCGCATGCGTTCTCTGGTTGGGAACATGAAAATCGACGACAAGTTCTTTAAAGAGATGTTCTTAGAACGTCTGCCGACGTCTGTACAAACAATCTTGGCCTCTGGCTCCGACGACCTAGAAATATCAAAGTTAGCGGAGATGGCTGACCGTATGATGGAGGTTGAGCGTTTGTCATCCCCGACGATTGCTCAGGTATCCCAGCCTCTCAACGTGTCCACCTCTGACCTTGCTGAACTAAAGACGCAGATTGCCCAGTTGTCAGCGACTGTTGCCGCTTTGCAGCTGCGCCGATTCCCCGGTCCCTCTCGACGTCCCTTCATTCGTGACCGTCGT